GGCAGGGGGGTCACGGCCCGGGGCTCCCAGGCCCCCGCAAACAGGTTGTGCAGGTAGTTCTGCAGGTACCTGGGCCGGGTTTGGGGGGCTGGCTTAGACCCAGACGGGCTCAGCTGAGCCCCCAGACCAGACCAGTTTAACCCCAAACCAGCCCAGTTTAACCCCAAACCAGCCCAGTTTAACCCCAGACTGAGCCCCCAAACCAGTCCACGTTTTAACCCCAACCAGCCCAGTTTAACCCGACTTGCGAAGGGCCCCCCCCCCAAAAGACGGCCCGAGCCCCAGTTTTTTAAAACCCCCCAAACCAGCCCAGTTTAACCCCAAAACTGAGCCCCCAAACCAGCCCAGTTTAACCCCAAACTGAGTCCCCAAACCAGCCCAGTTTAACCCCAAACTGAGCCCCCAAACCAGCCCAGTTTAACCCCAAACTGAGACCCCAAACCAGCCCAGTTTAACCCCAAACTGAGCCCCCAAACCAGCCCAGTTTAACCCCAAACCGGCCCAGTTCAACCCCAACCCAGCCCAGTTTAACCCCAACCCAGCCCAGTTTAAGCCCAGCCCGGCCCAGTTCAACCCCAAATGGGCCCAGTTCAACCCCAAACCAGCCCAGTTGACCCCCAACCCAGCCCAGTTTAAGCCCAGCCCGGCCCAGTTCAACCCCAAATGGGCCCAGTTCAACCCCAAACCAACCCAGTTTAACCCCAACCCAGCCCAGTTTAGCCCCAAATGGGCACAGTTTTACCCCAAACCAGCCCAGTTTAACCCCAAACCAGCCCAGTTTAACCCCAACCCAGCCCAGTTTAACCCCAACCCAGCCCAGTTTAGCCCCAAATGGGTCCAGTTTAACCCCAAACCAGACCAGTTCAACCCCAACCCAGCCCAGTTTAGCCCCAAATGGGCCCAGTTTTACCCCAAACCAGCCCAGTTTAACCCCAAATCAACCCAGTTGACCCCAACCCAGCCCAGTTTAAGCCCAGCCCGGCCCAGTTCAACCCCAAATCGGCCCAGTTTAACCCCAAACCAGCCCAGTTCAACCCCAAACCAGCCCAGTTGACCCCCAGCCCAGCCCAGTCTAAGCCCAGCCCGGCCCAGTTTAGCCCCAAATGGGTCCAGTTCAACCCCAAACCAGCCCAGTTGACCCCCAACCCAGCCCAGTTTAAGCCCAGTCCGTCCCAGTCTCACCAGTGCACGACCTTCCCGCGCAGCCCCCGGGGCCCGCGGGCCCCCCCGAGCTCCCTCTGCACCACGTGGAAGGGGTACAGGACGTCGATGGGCAGCTCCACGAACACGGGGCCTGCCAGGGGGACCCCAAAAACCGCCTCAGGACCCCAAAAAACCTCCTCGGGACCCCAAAAATCCTCCTCGGAACCCCAAAACCCTCCTCAGGGCCCCAAAAACTCCCTGGAACCCCAAAAACCCTCCTCAGGACCCCAAAAACTCCCTGGAACCCCAAAAACTGCCTCAAGACCCCAAAAACCCTCCTCAGGACCCCAAAAACTGCCTCTGGATCCCAAAACCTCCTTAGAATCCCCAAAATCACCTCAGAACCCCAAAAACTCCCCGGAACCCCAAAAACCGCCTCAGGACCCAAAAAACCTCCTCAGAACCCCAAAAACTCCCTGGAATCCCAAAACCTCCCTGGAACCCCCAAAACACTCCTCAGGACCCCAAAAACTCCCTGGAACCTCAAAAACCCTCCTTGGAACTCCAAAAACCCTCCCTGGAACCTCAAAACCCTCCTCAGGACCCCAAAAACTCCCTGGAACCCCAAAAACCACCTCAGAACCCCAAAAACTCCCTGGAATCCCAAAAACTCCCTGGAATCCCAAAAACTCCCTGGAACCCCAAAAACTGCCTCAGAAACCCCACAACCCTCCTCAGGAACCCCAAAAACTCCCTGGAACCCCCAAAACCCTCCTCAGGAACCCCAAAAACTCCCTGGAACCCCCAAAACCCTCCTCGGGACTCCAAAAACTCCCTGGAACCCCAAAAACCCTCCTCAGGACCCCAAAAACCGCCTCAGGACCCCAAAAACCCTCCTCAGGACCCCAAAAACTGCCTCTGGACCCCAAAAACCGCCTCAGAAACGCCAAAAACTTCCCCATAGGGTTGTTTTTTGGGGTCCCCCTCGATCCCCTCCCCATAGGGTTAATTTTTGGGGTTCCCTACCCCCCAGGGGTTATTTTTGGGGTCCCAGGGGTTATTTTGGGGTCATTTTTGGGGTCCCTCACCGGGGGTCCCGCTCTGGGCGGCCGCGATGGCCCCGCGCAGGGTGGGGACGATGTCCCCATAGGGGTAATTTTGGGGGTTATTTTGGGGTTCCCTCCCCCCAGGGGTTATTTTTGGGGTCATTTTGGGGTCCCTCACCGGGGGTCCCGCTCTGGGCGGCGGCGATGGCCCCGCGCAGGGTGGGGACGATGTCCCCATAGGGGTTATTTTTGGGGTTATTTTTTGGGGTTTTTCCCCCCCAGGGTTATTTTTGGGGTTCCCTCCCCCCAGGGGTTATTTTTGGGGTTATTTTTGGGGTCCCTCACCGGGGGTCCCGCTCTGGGCGGCCGCGATGGCCCCGCGCAGGGTGAGGACGATGTCCCCATAGGGGTAATTTTTGGGGTTTCCCTCCCCATAGGGTTATTTTTAGGGTTATTTTTGGGGTTCCCTCCCTCATAGGATTAATTTTAGGGTTATTTTCGGGGTCCCTCACCGGGGGTCCCGCTCTGGGCGGCGGCGATGGCCCCGCGCAGGGTGGGGACGATGTCCCATAGGGGTAATTTTAGGGTTATTTTTGGGGTGTCCCCCCCATAGGGTTATTTTTGGGGTTATTTTTGGGGTCCCAGGGTTATTTTCGGGGTCCCTCACCGGGGGTCCCGCTCTGGGCGGCGGCGATGGCCCCGCGCAGGGTGGGGACGATGTCCCCATAGGGGTAATTTTTGGGGTTATTTTTGGGGTTCCCTCCCCCCAGGGGTAATGTTTGGGGTTATTTTTGGGGTCCCTCACCGGGGGTCCCGCTCTGGGCGGTGGCGATGGCCCCGCGCAGGGTGGGGACGATGTCCCGCACGGTCCCCACGGACACGCAGACCTTGCAGAGGGTCCGGAAGAGCGAGAGCTGCTCGATGTCCTGCAGAGCCCCCCGGCCCTGGGGGGACACGGCGGGAAGGGGGGGATTAACTGGGAATGGGGGGATTAACTTAATGGAGGGGATTAACTGGGAAGGGTGGGATTAACTGGGAATGGTGGGATTAACTGGGAATGGGGGGATTAACTGGGAATGGTGGGATCAGGTGGGAATGGGGGGATGAGGAGGGAATGGGGGGATTAACTGGGAAGGGTGGGATTAACTGGGAAGGGTGGGATTAACTGGGAATGGTGGGATCAGGTGGGAATGGTGGGATTAACTGGGAATGTTGGGATTAACTGGGAATGGGGGGATTAACTGGGAAGGGTGGGATTAACTGGGAAGGGTGGGATTAACTGGGAATGGGGGGATTAACTGGGAATGGGGGGGATCAGCAGGGAATGGTGGGATTAACTGGGAATGGTGGGATCAGGTGGGAATGGTGGGATGAGGAGGGAATGGTGGGATCAGCAGGGAATGGTGGGATTAACTGGGAATGGTGGGATCAGGTGGGAATGGTGGGATAGGGTGGGAATGGTGGGATGAGGAGGGAATGTTGGGATCAGCAGGGAATGTTGGGATCAGCTGGGAATGGTGGGATTAACTGGGAATGGTGGGATGAGGAGGGAATGTTGGGATTAACTGGGAATGGTGGGATCAGGTGGGAATGGTGGGATGGGGAGGGAATGTTGGGATAAGGTGGGAATGTTGGGATCGGGTGGGAATGTTGGGATGAGGAGGGAATGTTGGGATCAGCAGGGAATGGCGGGTGGTTTTCGGGGTGGTTTTGGGGTGGTTTCGGGGTGGGTTTTTGGGGCGGTTCTGGGATGATTTTGGGGTGGTTTTGAGGTAGTTTTGGGGCAGTTTCGGGGTGGAGTTTTGGGATGATTTTGGGGTGGTTTTGGGATGATTTTGGGGTAGTTTTGGGGCAGTTTTGGGGTGGACTTTTGGGATGATTTTGGGGTGTTTGTGGGGCGTTTGGGGGTGGGCTTTTGGGATGTTTTTGGGGTAGTTTTTGGGGCAGTTTCGGGGTGGGCTTTTGGGATGATTTTGGGGTGGGTTTGGGGTGGGCTTTTGGGATGATTTTGGGGTGGTTTTGGGGCAGTTTTGGGGTGGTTTTGGGGTGTTTTTTTGGATGATTCTGGGGTGGTTTTGGGGTGGCTTTTGGGATGATTTTGGGGTGTTTTTTTGGATGATTTTGGGGTGGTTTTTGGGATGATTTTGGGGTGGTTTTGGGGCGTTTTCGGGGTGGTTTTGGGGCAGTTTTGGGGCAGCTTTGGGGTTGGTTTTGGGGTGTTTTTTGGGGCATGCCCACCTTCTGGAGGGAGGCGGCCGCCCCGCCCAGCAGCAGCAGGGGGGACTCGGCCATCTGGGCGTTCTTGACGGCCGTCACCGCGTTGGTGACGCCGGGGCCGGCGGTGACGGCGGCGACGCCGATGCGACCTGGGGGGGGGGAGAGGGTGAGTTTGAGGTGGGACCCCCCAAAACCCTCCACCACCTCCTCGTCCTGACCCACCAGAGATCCCAAATCATCTTCAAGGGGGGACAAAACCCACCCTGGAAGGACCTTGGAGACCCCCAAAGTCATTGAAACCTTCTCAGCTCAACCAGGAGCCACCAAGGTGGGACATCCACTGGCCCATGGGGTCACCCACTGGCCCATGGGGTCACCTCCTCGTCCTGACCCACCAGAGATCCCAAATCATCTTCAGGGGGGACAAAACCCACCCTGGAAGGACCTTGGAGACCCCCAAAGTCATTGAAACCTTCTCAGCTCAACCAGGAGCCACCAAGGTGGGACATCCACTGGCCCATGGGGTCACCCACTGGCCCATGGGGTCACCTCCTCGTCCTGACCCACCAGAGATCCCAAATCATCTTTGAGGGTGGACAAAACCCACCCTGGAAGGATCCTGGAGACCCCCAAAGTCATTGAAACCTTCTTGGAGAGCAACAAGGTGGGTTCTGGGGTCAACCAGGAGCCACCAAGGTGGGACCCCCCCCAACTGGGCCATGGGGTCACCTCCTGTTCCTGACCCCACCAGAGATCCCAAATCATCTTCAGGGGGCACAAAACCCACCCTGGAAGGACCTTGGACACCCCCAAAGTCTTTGGAACCTTCTCAGCTCAACCAGGAGCCACCAAGGTGGGACACCCCAAAACCCTTCACCCACTGGGCCATGGGGTCACCTCCTTGCCCTGACCCCACCAGAGATCCCAAAAATCATCTTCAGGGGGGACAAAACCCACACTGGAAGGACCTTGGAGAGCAACAAGGTGGGTTCTGGGGTCAACCAGGAGCCACCAAGGTGGGACCCCCCCCAACTGGGCCATGGGGTCACCTCCTCGTCCTGACCCCACCAGAGATCCCAAATCATCTTCAGGGGGGGACAAAACCCACCCTGGAAGGACCTTGGAGACCCCCAAAGTCATTGAAACCTTCTTGGAGAGCAACAAGGTGGGTTCTGGGGTCAACCAGGAGCCACCAAGGTGGGACACCCCAAAACCCTCCACCCACTGGGCCATGGGGTCACCTCCTGTTCCTGACCCCACCAGAGATCCCAAATCATCTTCAAGGGGGGACAAAACCCACCCTGGAAGGACCTTGGAGACCCCCAAAGTCATTGAAACCTTCTTGGAGAGCAACAAGGTGGGTTCGGGGGTCAACCAGGAGCCACCAAGGTGGGACACCCCAAAACCCTCCACCCACTGGGCCATGGGGTCACCTCCTGTTCCTGACCCCACCAGAGATCCCAAAAATCATCTTCAGGGGGGACAAAACCCACCCTGGAAGGACCCTGGAGACCCCCAAAGTCATTGAAACCTTCTTGGAGAGCAACAAGGTGGGTTCTGGGGTCAACCAGGAGCCACCAGGGTGGGACCCCCCCCAACTGGGCCATGGGGTCACCTCCTGTTCCTGACCCCACCAGAGATCCCAAATCATCTCTGGGGGGCACAACCGGGGTCCTGGTCGCCCCCAAAGCCCCCAAACCCCCCGAACCCCCCCCGGGGGGAAGGCGCCGCGGCGCTCCACCGGAGAGCCGGGACACGGCGTCGGCGGCGAAGGACGGCGGTGGCCTCGTGGCGCGTGTCCACCACGCGAGATGCCAGCTTCTCGCAGGCCACCAGAACGGGCCGAGATGTGCCCGCCGGCAGGGCGAAGAGGAACCGCACCCCGTGCGGCGCCGCAGCGACGCGTTCGGCCACCATGGCTCCCCGCCGTGCCGGGGGCTCCGGGGTCCGCCTGGGGGGGCAGGGGGGGTCACTGCACCCTTTGGGGACAGGGACAGAGCCCCCCATGACCCAGTGGTCCCCCCCAGTGACCCCAGTGTCCCCCTCATGACCCCAGGGTTCCCGCCAGTGTGCCCACCGAGCTCCCCGCCATGCCGGGGGCTACGGGGGTCACGGCCTAGGGGGGGCAGGGGGAGGCACAGGGCGGTCACCAACACTTGGGACAGGGATAGATCCCCCCAATGTCGCCCAGTGTCCCCCAGTGTCCCCAGTGTCCCACCAGTTCCCCAATGTCCCCAATGCCCCCATCCCCCCAACGTCCCCCAATGTCCCAATGTCCCCCCAATGCCCCCCAATGCCCCCCCAATGTTCCCCATGCCCCCCCAATGTCCCACCCAATGTCCCAAATGTCCCCAAATGTCCTCAATGTCCTCACTGTCCAAAATCCCCCCAGCGTGCCCGCCCGTGGTTGCCCCCCCGTGCCCCGACGCTTATGTGGCGCAGGCGATAGAGGAGCCCCCAGTGCCGGGCCAGCCCGAGCAGCACCGCGGCCACCAACCCGGCACAGGCCCAGCCCAGCCCGGCCAGCAGCTCCATGGGAACGTTGGGAACGGGACACGGCCCCGGGAACGGGACCCACGGCACCTGGAACGGGACCCACGGCACCTGGAACGGGAGAGATGGAGTTGGGAATGGGGAGAAATGGGACTGGGATGGGAGAAATGGTATTGGGAAGGGGATAAATGGGACTAGGACGGGAGAAATGGGACTGGGATGGGAGAAATGGGACTGGGATGGGAGAAATGGGACTGGGAATGGGAGAAATGGGACTGGGAATGGGATAAAGGGCACTAGGAATGGGATAAATGGGACTGGGAATCGGAGAGATGGCACTGGGAATGGGAGAAATGGGACCTGGGATGGGAGAAATGGGACTGGGAATGGGAGAGATGGGACTGGGAATGGGATAAATGGGACTGGGAAGGGGATAAATGGGACTGGGAAGGGGATAAATGGGACTGGGAATGGGATAAATGGCACTGGGATGGGAGAAATGGCACTGGGATGGGAGAAATGGGACTGGGAATGAGATAAAAGGCACTAGGAATGGGATAAATGGGACTGGGAATCGGAGAGATGGCACTGGGAATGGGAGAAATGGGACCTGGGATGGGAGAAATGGGACTGGGAATGGGAGAGATGGGACTGGGAATGGGATAAATGGGACTGGGAATGGGATAAATGGGACCTGGAATGGGAGAAATGGGACTGGGATGGGAGAGATGGGACTGGGAAGGGGATAAATGGGACTGGGAAGGGGATAAATGGGACTGGGAAGGGGATAAATGGGACTGGGATGGGAGAAATGGGACTGGGAATGGGAGAAATGGGACTGGGATGGGAGAAATGGGACTGGGATGGGAGAAATGGGACTGGGAATGGGATAAAGGGCACTGGGAATGGGATAAATGGGACTGGGAATCGGAGAGATGGCACTGGGAATGGGAGAAATGGGACCTGGGATGGGAGAAATGGGACTGGGAATGGGAGAGATGGGACTGGGAATGGGATAAATGGGACTGGGAATGGGATAAATGGGACTGGGAATGGGATAAATGGGACCTGGAATGGGAGAAATGGGACTGGGATGAGAGAGATGGGACTGGGAAGGGGATAAATGGGACTGGGAAGGGGATAAATGGGACTGGGAAGGGGATAAATGGGACTGGGATGGGAGAAATGGGACTGGGAATGGGAGAAATGGGACTGGGAATGGGAGAAATGGCACTGGGATGGGAGAAATGGGACTGGGATGGGAGAAATGGCACCGGGATAGGAGAAATGGGACCTGGAATGGGATAAATCACACTGGGAATGGGATAAATCACACTGGGAATGGGATAAAGGGCACTGGGAATGGGATAAAGGGCACTGGGAATGGGAGTTGAACCAGTTTAACTAATCCCGGTCCAACCGGGTTCCCGCGCCTCCAGGCCAGCGCCGGCCCCGCCCACCTCATTTGCATAATGAGCCCTAACGAGGCGTCCCAGCGCGATCCCTGCCCCGGGGGGGGGTCGGATCCCAACCCCCTTCCCGATCATCCCGAACATTCCCGGGGGCGGGGCCGCCCCACCCGGAATTCCTGCCCCGAATTAATTCCTGCCTTCTCTGCCCTTAAACCCCGAGGGCAAAGGGGGCAAAAAAAAACCCCAAAAAAACCTGAAAAAAGCTGGAATTTGGGCAAAACTGCCCCGGTTTGGGGGATTTTGGGAGGGGGCGGGGCCGGTACCTGCTGGTGAGGGTGGCAGGAGGTGACA